TTGGGGAGCCAAGCGGCGCTGCCTGCCGGTGCCTGGGGTTGCCCCCTTGCTGTGAGGAGAACGCGGTGTAGCCTCCGCTGCCTCCGCTGCTTTCCCCATCCCCGGAACGGGCGGTGGGAGCAGGTGGGATTTTGAGGGCTGGAGGGACAGAGGATCGTTTCCCAAAGGCAGCAGCTTCGGGCTGAGAGAACGGGGGATTTGCTGGGCTGACGCCCTTGTTTCTGAGCGAGCACGGTTCCTTTCCTACGCCTCCCTGCCCGTACCGTTACGTCTTTGGTACCGTGGCATGCAGCGAGGGCTGTGGGAGTACATCTGTGTAGAAGTCGCCAATTCTTCTCAGCTTAATCCTTCCCCACCTCTTTATTTCTTTTTTTTTTTTTTTTTAATTAGCTTGGTGAATGGACTGCTGCCATGGAGACATCAAGCATAGCTCAAAATAGCTAATAAGGCAGAACTGGAAAGGGGATTATGGCCAGTACAGAAGGGGGGAAGGGAAAAAGCAATTTTAGCCACTGACGTGTGAGATGCAACCAGGAGAGAGGGAAGCCACGACAGGAGAGATGAGGGGCTGCAGCCATTAAGGTATTAAGGCCGACTGATGCTTTGTGATGTGGAAAATATATGGGCCAGCTCAGGAAACATGTTCTCCTTCTCCCCCTTATGTCATTTTACTCTTCGAAAAGTCCTCCAGCCAGTTATAAATGCATGCAAAATACAGAGCTTTTGTTATTTTTTTTAAACAGTAAAACAAAGGAAATGGGGGGGACAAAGGCATTGTTTGCAGTTTGTCTTGAAGATCAAAAAGGCTCGTGCTGCAGAGAAATGGCTGATGTAATTTTTATCAGTGAGGAGCCTCCTCTGCACCCATGACACCGGCGTCCCAATGCAGCTGAGGGGCAATAAAGGACTGGAGTCTCCAATTAATAATATTTGAAGTAGGTTGTTGTGAGGAAATGGGGCCTGACTATCCCAGCAAATGTCTTAACATTTCATGTAGCCTTCACTGCTCTATCTATCCTTACAGTATGCCGTTGTTATTTTACAAATATTGTGTTGAAAAAGGTTAATGTCGATTATAACTGCTGCCTAGACTGGAAGAACTATCCTGTCTGACTGCTTTAACATAAAACTAGATTGGCAGTTGTGATACCCATTTATAACTCTCAAATCTTTTACATAAACTTCAGTACTGGGAATAGTTCCTGAACTGACTACTAATCCCTCAATAAAGTTAACTAAATGCAGCAGAGGATAAATTTTACTCCATAAATGTTGTGATTATATACTTAAAAAAAGGCCATGCCAGCATATAGTTCAAGTTTTTGATGCACCATTGTCCCACAATCCACCAAGAACAGTTAGAGGAGGCTGCTAGGAGGAACATCTTAGGGGAACTGAAGGTTAAGATAATTTTTAATTATCTGGTATTCCTTTCTACCATTTAGAGGAAGAGCCTTCATCTCCTCTAAGCACTTCCCCTCCAATGAAAATAAAATATAAGAACTTCCAAGTGGTAATCTAGATAGTTTGAGTAAAAACATTTTATACGTATTTTCTTCTGGGTTTACTACCTTTCTTTATGTAGTGTTTTTTTCCTCTTCAGCTTGCCTTTTAAAATGTCTTAAATATATTTATTTTTTTGTTGTTGCTGCATACCTCTTGGGCTGGATCCCTTTTCTCCTTGTGCTTCCTTTTTAAGTTTCCTTCTCCCTTAACCTTTCTTTCCTCATGTGTAGTTTTTTCTCACCTAGATTAGGTGTAGGTTAGGGTGAAGTTTTTACTTTATGTAACGTGAATGTGGTATCTCTATAGATGCAGAGGAACAACTGCAGCTCAGTGTTAGCAGGTCATAGAAAGCACAGGCCTTTTTAGTAATCCTTAGATGGTGGCACGTGCCACAAACAACACAGCAGTCTGTTTGCTGGTGAATCTCTGTCCTTCTCTGTTACCCACTAGCACTCTCAATCCAGAGCCCAGTGAAGCTGGAGGACATCCTCCTCAGTTTCTGCCTGTTCCTGCCAAAGCCTGTCATCCATAGTACTAGAGGAGGAATTTCTGCTGTTTCCACTGGCAAGGGTGACAGTGGGATTTTTTTCTTTGTTCCCTACCACAGGTGGACATGTTACCACTGAGCAGTGTTTTGTGATTTGTGGGTTTCTCTTTTTAAACTTCTAACTACACTTCCTGATCATGGATTGTTTCTTTGTTTAAGGGCTGGTGACCACTCCCTCAATACCACATAACGTAAATGAAAGAGGCAGAAACAGAAAAGCAGGCAGCTCTTCAGTTAAATAGAAGATGGTGGTGCTGGGCTTCCTGGTGCTCAGGACATGGAGATATGGAAGTCTTCTAGCCACAGGCTGAGAAACTGGACTCAGCTTTCCCTGAATGCTGTGAAGCATGGGTTAAGTTGGCAGATTGTCCTGCCTTGCGTGTAACTAGCTGAGCACTTACCTATCCAGGGCTGTATTTCCGTCATTTTCCCCTGAGGTGCAGGGGAGCGTTGACACAATGCATGGACAATTCCCCAAGTCAGCATAGCCTCGAAGCACAGACCACTGCTACACATGTATGCCTGCTGGCAGTTTGTTCCTTACCTGGAACAAAAGCATGAAGGCAGATTGTGGCAAGAGCGACTTGCCAGTTACTGTGCCCTTAGCACGCAGGGTTTTCCTTGAGTAACATCCTGTGCCCAGCTGGGGTGGTACATGTCTTCAGCTGGCCCAGCTTTCAAGGTCTGTTGCTTTCTCAGTTTTTGCTCTCGTTGTCCTCTTGCACATGGTTTATTTTACCTTCTTTCCTATCATGCTTGTCACATTGTCCGCTTCCTGTCTCCTCCCTTCTCAGGAAGCTGTTCACTGCCACTGGTATTCTAGGTTTTTCTCTTTACAAACTGTCATTCGCCATCTGAGGAACCTGCTGCTCCTAGCAGTCCTTCCTTCTGCTGTTAAAAGCAGGCCCCACCAAACTTCATAGTCCTTACAAAGGAAATATCTCCGCTTCCTGTATAACGTAGTAGCATCTGAGATGGTATCAGTGGGTAATTATCCATCTTGTAAATACCTCAGTGTACACCAGAGAAAAAAGAAGGCCACGTGCTCTCCAGGAGATACTTCTCGACCATCCGGCAGCCTTTTATCAATTTAGGCTTCTCTCAGAAAACGGGTTTATTATGCACAATTGCAAAGCAAACTTTGGAGAAGAGAGATAAAAGCACCTTGGGAAGAAGAACATGACACACTCCTAGTCAGTGTTGCACTAGCACTGCTGTAAACTGCCCGGTAGTTATTCACACAGCATTTACATTTTAAGTCTTCACTTAAAACTGTATTTGAATAGTGAACATTAGCAGAAGCGGTACTGATACTTTTTTAATCATGGTAAAATGCTTCTTTCTGTAACAGCTGGTATTCTGTACTTCTGTGATCTAGGCTATGTAGTCACTCTTAAAATGAATTCTGACTATGAAATAGAATAGGGAGCACAAGCTAAGGCTTGGCTAAGAATAATTTGTTACGTAATTAGTACAATGATAAGAATAAATCAAAACCTGTATTCTATCAAGCATGGTAGGCATAGGCATTCTTCTCATGTGTTTCCTTTCCAACCTACTGGTTTCAACTGCTTGTATCTTTCAGAACTTTTCCGATTTTTCATTTGTTTGAAAGCAGCTGTTTTATTTCTAGAAAGTCTGATGGGGAGAGAGAAGTTCTTTTGATCAGACTGCATTTACAATAGCGACAGCACTTCAGAAAATAAAATGGATAGCTCAAAGACCTGTACTGATTTTGGAGAAAGTCCTTGATAAATCGGAGATGCAAAGAAAAAAAAAAAAAAAGATCTGGCAAGTCTAACTGTATTTTTAGGGGGTAACAGGCTTCAGAATATGAGGATGTAGAACCCTTTGATCAGAATTGCTTTTAGTGAGAAATCCTTTCTTCTGTCACTGTCCCCTTCAAGGTAAAAGATAATGTTCTCGGTGGCAGCATTTAAAAAGGCAGACTTCAAAATACTGCATATGAGTCATATGTAATTCTTTCACAGTTACTGAATAGTAACTTCTGGATATTGGATCTAAAATAGTCATCTTGGAAGTTGTGCTGTGGTGTTAGCCAGGTATTCCCTTTTATTTTCTGCTTCATTTTACTGCCCTTTGGAGCATATACTGACTTAGTTGCCTAGGGTAGTGTGGAGAAAACTGAAATTGTTCAAGAATCAAGAGATAATGTCTTTCAGCTACTTAGCAGTGGCCTGTCATGCACGTAAAGTTGCCATTTTCATTTATTTCTCCAAGCTTTTATTCTACATCTGTTAATAACTTGTAGCCCCTTACGTCTATGCTCCATTTTATTGATGAGTTTCTCATTTTTATAAATGTAAAATCACTTGGTTTTTAATTTGTACTTCAAAATTTAATACATTTCTCTTGAAGCCCTCAGAACTGGTGTTCCCTGGGGAAAAATAGTACTTCTTTCCTTCTGGATTAAATTGGGATAGCAAGCATCTGTCAAGTCTCTTCACAGAATTTTCATTGTTTTGCAGTGGGGAGAGTTTAAAACAAGTAAAAGTTTTGAAAATTTGGACTTTATCATTACTTCCCTAACTTTGAGAACTGGATTATTCAGATATGATCTGATTATTCAGATAGTAACTTGCTGTTTTCTTCCCCTTACAGAGTATTCTCTATGCAGCAGATCCTAACTGGTGAAGCCAGTTTAACAAGTAAAGGAATATGGTTGCACTTTTCCTGTTGACTTCTCATACCCTTGCAAGAATCACTAGAATTTATTTTTTAGAGCTGGTGAGTTCACTGCCGCTAGTAACATTTCAACTTATTTTCTTGGAGGGAGCTGCCCAGAAAAGCTGCTGTAGTAAATCTTCTAACATAATTTATTTTTTTATTCTCTTGAACTAGCCTAGATGGGAAGACAACAGCAGGTGACACTGTGTACCAAACGGTGGCACCAACAGCTGAGTAGGTGGCATGCTGCTGGAGGGGACGGCTCACCTTAAGACTGGTACTCATACTTTGAGATTCTAGGTTGCTGCAAGAGCTGTCAGAAACCCAGCATGTTTACAAGCTTTTGTGCAGCTGCTTAGAGGGTGTTACTGGAAGCTGAGAAATCTGATTGTATTCTGAATTCAGGCATGGTGATATATTACAGGAAAATTGTTCTATCTAGGGAAGATTAATAGTTGAGCTGCTTCTTTTTGTATGGTCTCGCACAAGTTCTCAACATAGAAATTGGGGATCAGCATAGATTTTTTTTTTCCACATGTGCAACAATTCTTACAGTCTTGCAATGTTGTCACCTATGGATGAAACCTCGGAATGCTGCTTTAGCAATAAAAATAGCAGTACCAAGTCTTTATGGTGTCTCCTTGTCTTCACTTAAATGTTATTATTAATTCCAGAAAGTCAAAACACTGTTGCTAAAATCCTTTCTTTTTTAAGTGTCAGTGTTTGATGGAGACTGGTTCACCACAGTACAATAGAATTAGTAATCTCATTCCACAATTTCTATACTTTTTCCAAAATAGAGCTTTTTAGGCTTGGTTTTGGGTTTGCAGGTTTCTTTCAAATTTTTTTGTTCCCCAATCTTATTGCTCTTGGACTACACTAATTCAATGCTTCCCTCTTAGCATATTAAGAAATATGTAAAATATTGAGAGCCTTCCTACTAGGAGTAACAGCCAGATCTCATTTCAGCCCCTGCAAGTTAGCAGACAATTGAAAAGTTAATTTTTTTCCTCTGAAGGATCTATCTTCTCGCCACTCTTACACCCATGTTTCTAAGCTATTAAAGAAGAAAAGCTATGTTAAAACAAGTTAAAACAAAAAAATCTTCAGATTACCCTAGGGAAGTCATCTAGATGTCAGAGAACTAAGGGAAAAATACTATTTGTGCAGTTGGCCACCTAATATACTGTAAATACAGTATATATCTTTAAGTCATCACAGTAACAAGTCAAAAGAGAGTCCCAAGTCTCTTTTTTTGTGAATTTATGCATAATTACAAAAAAAACGCAGCCTTTAATGTCACACAGAAAAAACCTCTAACCCTTGCAGCAAATAATTTAATTTACACGGTTTTAACTGCTTGCTATGTTAAAACTGTAGCTAAGAAACACAGAATGGAGATGGGAATGGTATAGATGGCAATATTTAAGTTTATTTGAATAAAAACTTAGGATTTTGATTAATTGAGCAACTGTTGGAAGCCAAGTTTACCATTTCTGTGACTGTCAAACAAATGATGGTCGTTCTCCTGGTCTATTAAAAACTGGGCTAAGCTTAGTTTGGATTCCAGTATCCAGTGCTAGGGAACAACATTGATTATGCTCCTTGTTACGAGTTTCAGTAAACAAAAATAGGAATTATGAGGGCTGTGCCTAGTCCCTGTACCCATTGCCAATAACCTAGCAAGCCAGTTCTCCAGCTACAATATTCATATTTTCAGAGCTTTTCTAGTATTTTTTCACAACATATTGTTTACTGTCTTAATTCCAGCTTTTTCTTCTGATCCCCAGTCTTCTGTTGAGCTTCTTATATTGTACCCTGAGGTCTGTGGCCTTTACCCCTACTGAGATTACAGGAAAAATAAACAAAGGGTCAGAAAAAGATGTTAAGAATGGGAAAAAAACAAAAGAAAAAGAGGTATTAGTAAACCCAAGGAAAAAAAAAAAAAACAACAGAATACTTGGTATTTTACTGGGTAGATTAGGATTGTCTTGGACATGAGGAAAAAGTTCTTCAATGAGCGGGCAGTCAGTCACTGGAACAGGCTCCCCAGGGAAGAGGTCACGACACCAAGCCTGCCAGAGTTCAAGGAGCATCTGGATGATGCTCTAAGTTTTAGGTGGTCCCGTGAGAAGCAGGGAGTTGGCCTTGATGATCCTTGTGGGTCTATTCCAACTTGAGATATTCTATGATTCTATCTTTGACGGAGAAAGAATGCTCCAACTAGGGGCAGCAGTATAGAGAACTGAATTACGGGACCTTTGTAAGTCCTTTCAAACTTTATTCTGTGTTTCAGCCAGCACACCAGTCACAGGAGATCAATGACAAATACTGAACAGCACACCTCATTAATGTAAATACCTGAAACGTTGGACACTGCCTGCAGGTGATCTGTTCAGCTGCTGAATCCAATTGTTTGTTTTAACTAAACCCATTTCCTGGTGTTCTGAAGCAATTTCTCTCCTCTCTACTTAACTAATACTTCCTCAAAATAAATGCTAACTGCTGTTAACTTGTTTGCTTTCTGTTCAGGCATGTTGCACGTGGAGGGTGCTATATAAAATCAAAGTAAGCGATATACATTATCACCTATGCGATTCCCGTGATAAACTGTTCCCCTTTGTTTCACGCGTTCAGGTGATGTAGCGCCATGGAATTATTCAGACTTTCATCCAGCAGTGCAGTTTCCGTACTTTATTTTGAAAGTCTCTTAATAGCTATTTTAAAACAAGTGAACAAATTAAAAGTAAAGTGTTCTTTATTAAATAACTCAAAAGGTAAAGCAAATTGTGCGATTACGAAAGACAACATCATGGTTCCAAAGGATTTTTACAGCAGAAAATGAATTGCGGCAAATGAGCATTTCAGTCTAGCAGCCAAATTGTCCTCATTTTTATGGAGTTAATTTCGGTCCTCAAATTGTGACTTGTTTTTTAAAAGATATGCTGCTAGAAATTCAATGGGATTTGGCGGTCTGTAAAGAAAAAAGTAAATCAAAAGCAATTATTTTTTGTTATAGGAAATTAGGTAGCTGAAGAACTAATCATCTTCCCTTAAAAGCAACATAACTCCTCCCAAACACTTAGAAGCATTGATTTAGGGATGACCAACTACCTAGAGTTATCCTATAAATTTCCCGTTTATGTCTGATGAGGAAAGTTTTTAATAAGGAGTCTTAGTCACCCTTGGTTCAATGTTACTGAATTGCTAGAACAGTTACATACCTAGAACTAGGGTATAGTCTGAAAGCATAAATACTGTATGTACATTATGGAAAGTTACATGTATTTGCCTATTCCTTTAACTCATGCTATATAAAGTAAAAGTTAATCTCAGTGCTTTCTTGCTTCATTTTCTTCAAATGGTTATTGTGTAGCTTTGTGCAACTGGCAACTGAAACAAACAACAAAACGTCAACAAAAACTTCAACTCTGAGAAGTGCTGTAACTTGCAAGTAGTCAATAATAAACACTTTTGATCACTGGCCTTAGTCTGTATGTTTTTTTAAAAAAGCTCTTCCAGCTACATTGCATGAATCCTGCTAATCTGGATTCTGCCTGCAGAATAAATGACAAGCTTACTTATGCCACACTGGGTCAGACCAAAGGTCTGGCAGCGAGCAAATACCCCTATAAAGAACATAAAAATAAAATGGAAAAAGTGCACAGAGATACTTCTCTGGACCGTCCTTTTGGCTTCTAAGCATGTACCAGCTTTCTGAGTTAGCGCCTTTAAGAGCCCTGGGTGGATTCCTCTACAACTTTGACCAGCTGCCCCTTGAGCCCCAATAAAACGTTGATGTCCTCAACCTGAGGCAAAAAATTAATAGCTTAATTACGTGACCTGTGAAGGATCACCTCCTTTTGTTCATTATGAATTTGCTACCTGCTTCGCTTAATTTGATTACTGTATCAGAAGAGATAATCAACAATCCATCCCAATTCATCATCTCTATGCTATTCGTGATTTCACAGATTCCTAATACATCCTCTCACAGAAGTCTCTTTTCTAGGTATCATCTCTTCAGTCACTCCGTATACAGATAGCATTCCATACTTCTGACCACCTTGTCACTCTTCTTACTTTTTGACATTCTACCAGCATACAGGGGAATTGGACTGACACACAATATTAAAAATACAAGAACATTATAAATGTAAATAATGACATTATGCTTGTTTTTACCCCTTCAATTTCTAAGTCCTACCATTCAGAATTTCTGATTGAGCAATGCAGTGACATATACATTTAACAGTTTAAAGATATTTTTCCACAAGGGTAATTGTCAACTCAGAATCTATCACTTTGTCACTAGCATTAGGGTATTTATTACCCTCGTAGGTGCATCATTTTCTGTGTATTTGTATTCAATCTGTAACTTTTTGTCATAGTTTCAATTTTTCATAGCAGTCTTCCATAGTTTCACATCGAGTTTGTGAAGTTCCTGTGCAATTATTTACGATCGATCAACTTAAAAAAAACCCAAACAGAAAACAAAACATGAAAAACCCCAAACTATTCTGTAAAACTCAGTATCATTAACAAATTTTGTCAGCTGCTGCTTCAAGTTGTTATAAATGATCCTTTCCAGGATTCTAGCGTTGAGCTCATTTCACCGTGAACATTCACCATTTACTTCTACTCTGTCTTCTATCTTCCAATCAGTTCATCGTCCATATAAAGGCTTCTTCTTTAATCCCACAGCAACTAACTCTCTTTAAAAGCTTTTAGTGAATGACTGGGCCAGAAACCTTTTGGAAATTTAAACACACTGCATCATCTGGATGCCTGTTCACGTGTGCTCGCTGACTCCTTCAGTGAGCTCCAAGAGACTTACAAGAGGCCTGACAAAAGTGGCGTTGACTCCTCCCAAATATTTATCTATATGCTCACTATCCTGGATGATAATTTCTACTGAATTCCAGGCACAGTCATCAGATGTACTGGGCTGTTTCCTGAACATCTCTATATTCCTTAGAAAAAGAAATTAGCATCCATTAGTTACTTTCTGGTTCAATTTGAAGCAGATTATACAGCAGAGCTGGTAGTTCAGCTTTTTCACCTGAGATTTTAATATGCTCAATTGAATAGCCAGTTTGACCGTGGCAGTTTGATACTGTCAGGTTTCTTTCCTGTATGTTCCCCAACCTCTTCTGTCAATGTTCCCATTTCACTCCTGGGATGAGTCCCCATAAAGAACAGCTCCTTCCATAGTGACAGAAGATTAAAGAAAAAAAGAAGTTTGTCTGTAACACAAGTATCCAGCCTGTTAAGGGCGGGGTATCCACCTCAGGCTGCGTTTTACATTCAGTCTGCAGCTGAACTCCCCCAGATGTCAGCTGAAGATCTGCACGCTGCTTAGGCGTACGCCCGGGGTGTACCTTCCTAGGTGCTCTTTTGCCTAATAAGCTGTCTGTACAACGCAGTTCAAAGTTACAACTCCTTTTGAGGTTAAAGACGCTGTTGATGCTTGTTCTGGCTGTAGGTACCGTGATGCGATTATGTTCATCCATACCAGCTTTTGATACTGTTGTTTTGGCAAAACCGAGAAATGGTTACATGCAGTACGACTCGCCAATAGTTCGGATACACCAAAAGGCTAGAAATCAATTTGGATAAGATGAACAACTGTCTGCTATTATTGAATACCCTTCTACATGGACTGATAAGAGATTTCGGGCACCTTGACAGCATAATCTTTACTCAAAGGATAAACTATCAGTTTGCTTCTTACTGTGTGGACAGTGCAGGGTCAGCCTCATCCTTTAGAAAGTGTTTTAATCTCCAACAAAGATGCACGTCAGGCCCAATTTGTCTGTCTGTCTTTTAAATGGCAAGCAGAACTCTATAATTCCACACTACAAAAATCTTGTTCAAAACTAGAACAACTTCTTGCCTTGGTTCTAGAAGGTGAATTATGTGATAAAATTAATAAAAAAATACATTTTTCCCCCCAAAACCTTTGCAGTAGCGTACCTCATTGGGAGATCACAAATTCAGTAACTCTTATCGCACCATATGCACCTAAGTGAGGAACACGTCCTGCATGGCCAATCACAGTAATTCATAGGTTCATAAACCTGTTGTAATGACTTTCTTACAACTAGCAAAACCACGTCTGGTGTGTGAGGTCTGAAAAGGTGACACGCCACCCAAGTTTGAGACCTACTTTTTTCCTAAGAAGAGAAGGAACACTGAGGCATCTTACCTCTCTTTTGCAAGAACAGCAAGTCCCTGTAGCAAGATAGGTACGACTGTCTGATCCAAGTAGGCACGTGTGGGTAACGACTGAAGATCCACCTTCTGCTTTGATGTTTTCTCTGCATTTATTTTCTCATTTTCTACTATCCTCTGAAGTAGAAAAAAAAGAGTGAATGAACATTGGTAATAGCAGCCACATCTACTTTGAAGTGTGAGCGCAAACAAAGTACCCATCTCTCTGCAATTCACTGGCAATATAACTTCTTTACATCAAGAAAATTTAAGTGTGTATTTTTCCTTGCACAAAAACCTAATCCAGAGGAGTCTTCTCTTAAATTCTTATGTTTTGGGGAAAAAAATGTTAGGAAGTCCTAAGTTTTCTAAAACAGAAGACACCCAATGTCTATCATTTTTATTTCTGCTTTTGCATTCACAGATTTAAATGCTACACCACTGAGACAGGAATGACTACTAACAAGGCTGGTCTCAACTAAATGCACGTGCTTCTAACACAAAATGCTAAAAGCACAAGAATTTCAGGTGAAGTCTGACAAAGGGCACTCTGTTAAAGTCGAGCACTTTGAGACCGTGCTCTATTAAAGTATAGACGGACACTTTAAAGAAAACATATGCAAAATGCTTCCAGGTGCCTTTTGGTCAAAAAGTGCTGAATCATCTTACACCATTAACTGTAGTTAAAAAAGGATACCCTACCACCGCCAGCAAACCAAACGTATTCAACGCAACATACACAAACCTATCGATATGGGACCAAGGTATCCAACGTGTTACGGTTCTGTAGTGGAAGTTGAGGCATACAGACAAGCAGTTATCAGGAAGAAGAGTCACAAAGGATGTTTAAGAAAAGTTTCTGCAAAAGCTCAGCATACTAGAAGCTTATAACGGAGGGAGACTGAAGGCATTTCTTGAATAAGGAAGAGTAAATAAATGTCATAGAGTTATTGTGCTAACCCACACTGTTACCAACAGGGGAGAGAATGGATTATGTCTACTCCTTCTCAGCATAAGTAATCAAAGATAGCTTGCATTATTCTGATCCAATATTTCTTTTGACAAGAATACAAAAAGAATCCCACCCTTTGATATTTCTGCAGAAATGCCATCAACTCCTCCTATGCCCCTCCCTGTAACAAAAGTCTGGCTGGCTTTTTGTGGCATACTATATTGTATAGATATATATAAAAGATAGTAATAGAATGGATAACGATCATAGGATACTTCCAAAAAACCCCACCTCATTCAAAGGTTCATTATTTACTTCAGTACCATTTAGTATAATGGAAGGAACAAAACAGAAAATATATTAACAGCCAGTTATGCAAGGGACTAGTATCTCTTGGTTCAGTTTCCATCTAACTTTCTCGGGAACGTTACATTCGCCGAAGTTAGACTCAAGACTCAACATTTTTCCCCATGGTCAGGAATGTGACTTCCACTGTACTTTACAGCAACAAAATCTTTGTTACCTCCACATTTTCAGTGAGGCCGTATTCAGAATGGGGATTTTCTGGAACCTGTAAAACAACACGTGGTCAGCAAAGTGAAAATGCTCCTTTATGCGTGTAGCATTACGCAAATAAAACATGTCTTGCAATACCTGCGGCTGTCCCTCCATAATCTGTTCTGCCTCCATGATTTGAAAAGTGGAATTTGCTGGACGTAATCTTGGAAAGCAATAAAAAAATGGGTCAGCAGGCTGAGATGAAGACCAGCGTTAGCTAACTGATATTGCCTCACTTGGTTACTAAGGCACAATTACTAGAGAGCCAACGGAGTTGCTCTGCGCTCCCCCCCGCCAAACTTGTACGCGTTTTCCCCGCACACAGACTTGAGAAGCGTCTTCAGCTTCGCATTAAGTCCGCTGAAGAAAACGGCACCGAGATTAGAAAACACGGCATTCC